ACACCCTCCCACCCTATAGACTCGCCTATGAACTTCGTAAATTCAAAATCGTTTTTCAATCAAGCCTGGATCTCAATTACGTCGCCGTGAAAGCTTCGGCGGGAGAAATCACAACCTCGGGAGTCTTAAAAGACAGAAATCTGAAATTTTGGAGGAATGCGACCATGCAGTATTAAATTTAGCTTTCAGTTAGCCTTGGTTCTCTTTTAGTGACGAAAATTATTATCTTGAGAACTAGAAGAGCTGTAACGCTGAAATTTCAGGAGGATGTTTTCTGCCTGTGCAGGTACCTCACAAACTCAAATTTAGCTCCCAAGTATGCAGAGGCCTTAAGTACGACCATGTGAGAGTTTTGATGCGAAAGTTACCAGCTCGGAAGCCGAGAAACTAGGAAGTTCAAATTTGGAGGGATGTCCCCCATCCATTTTTTCAAATTCAACCTTCATGTGCCGGCATGTGAAACTGTCAGTAGGAAATTCCTCGACTCAAGAGTCTGACAGCATATCTACTATTTTTCCACAAATGAAAGTGTAAAATAGTTCTATTTTTAGCAGGTAAACGTCCGCCAGACGGGACTGCACAAAAACACATGATTGCATCGGCTACCCTGATGGGCGCCGCTATTTGTTTTTTCCTGAATCGGTGTATTTTAACATTTACGCTCCTGTTTAAATAAACGTGCTTGAATTCGCTGTTCATGAGTAAGCTCGCACCACCAAGCTGATTTTCGAAATTCGTTTAAGTGCGTGAGACAAAAGTGACCGAGTGATAACGCTGAGCACATACTAAGGACACCTCGAAATAAATGAGGCTTTGACAAATGCTCCCTAAGGAGAAACCGTAAGGGGTGATAAAATCATTAAACGACGAACAAAACTGAAGCGATGCAGCATTGGCCAAAGGAAATATAAAAGTTTCCAGCTGCATAATCTCTCTAAACCCAGAGCAAAAGCACCCCTTTTCCGATTTGAAATGAAATGAATTAATGAGAAATGAAAATGTGAGGTAACCTGGAAGATCCGTATTTATGTTGTGAAGCTATAGCCACAGTGCAATTTGAGTGCTGCGAATTGAGCAGAAGCAGAAGCTGCAGCAGCTGCTCGTTGATCTTTGCACCAAGAAGCGGAGAAAATCAGCCCTCTCCGGCTCTGCTCTTAAACTGCTTAACAGCAGCTCTTCAGGTTTTTTCTTGCTTAACTCAAGATGACGTCCTCCCGGGACTCTCGATTCGAGTGCCACACTCCATCCCAGACCTTTATGCGAATTAATAGTTTGCAAATCGCTGATACTCCCATTTTACTACCATAAACTGAAACTACATTCAAGCCTACAATTTGATTTTGTTCATCTGCTCTTTTCTTGCACTCCTGATCTGTATAATCTTACAGTTTGATTAGCATTTCTAATGTTTTAACAGTTACTACTTAAGGCCTTAAACAGTTGCTACCTAGGAAAAGTTTTTAAAATTACTATGTCCCCGATTTTGTCCCTTCACTTCAACCATATGTCAGATATGCGAAGTTTTCACCACTTCTGAACTAACGATTCCGTGCAAAATAAACTCATTTCAGCCAAAAAAAAAATAGTAAGCTGACAGTCAATTCAGATATTTTAGGTACACTCAAGACCAACTGCGGTCTGGTAATAGCAAGATACATTCACGAACAGTTAGGCTAAGCCCTTCTAT